AGTTGTTTTATGCCAGCCTGAGTGGGGAGCAGCTCCTGACCTGGAGGTGATGACGAATACAATAAGGGGGTGTCTCGTTGCTGCAGGGGTCCGGAAGTGGGAGTGACCATTACTGGAGGAGAGTGGAGGGCTTCCTGGAGGAGGTGACATCCGAATGGCATCTTGAAGGAAGTGTAGGAATCCATCATACACGGAAAGGGCAAAGGGTCACTGGTGGGTGGCATGACTTGAGCAGAAGCCCTGGGAGCATACAAGGGAGCTCGTGTGAAGAGGAGGTGGGAAGAGGAGGCCACAGGTAGACACAGGAAGACTTTACCTGAAGGCCAAGGGGGCTCAGCAAGGCCTTGGTCAGGGGAGGGATGCAGCGAGATGTGGTTTTGAGGAAGCTGCCTGGCTGTTGAGCAGAGAACTACCTGGAGGAGAACCATAAGTGGTGCAGAAGTTACCCAGGACCCACCCAGAAGGGAAGAATGCCTGGTACAGAGCAGCCAGCTGGGAGAGGCAGAACTGGTGAGGTGCTTTGGGGGTAAACTGTTGGCAGTTGCAGCCGATCAGATGTGGGGGGAGAATGGTGGAAAGAGGAAGGTGACCCAAAGGTGCAGCTCAAGTAGCTGGGAGGGAGATTAGTTCCCATGGCCAGGCTAAGGGAGCAGAGAAGATGGAGCAGGTCTGGGCTATTCAAAGAGTCTTAAAAAACAGATTATACAAATAGGCTTTAAGGATCAGGCAGTGATTCCTGAATCTTGAGGCCAAAGGAAACCCCATAACTTGTCAAAATCCTCAAGAAGACTTCTCTGTCCCACATCTGCCTTGGCTTTTCCGGAGACAGAGTTTTGAAGATTGTGGAAAGAGTATGGGCCAGTGTGTGCAGACAAAACTGGGAGGTTCAGAACTTGGGCTGTTCGCTTGGCTGGCCAGCAGGACTATGGACCGTGTTTCATACATCACACCTATCATTCTCATGGACTCCAGCTTTCTACTTGGAAGGACACCAGAGTACTGTGCTAATTTAGTAAAATGAGATTCTGGGGCCTACAGATGTAGATTTAACCTTGAGGGCCCTGGGATGGAAGTGATCACTGCCTTTGGTTCCTGCCACGCTGCGATCCACAAGTTCTCTGCCAGAGCATTCCCTTCCCACAGGCACGAAAATCCATCTACTTCCCCTCTGAAACAGCCACCACAGACCCCCTTGACTCTCTCCAGTCATTGCCCCCCATTTTTTTTTTTTGCTTCTTTCGTAGCAAAGATTCCTGAGAGATAGCCTCTGTTTCCACTTTCTTCCCACTCTCTCCCTGACCCCCAGCCAGGCCCTAGTCACCACTATGTGACTACACCATCTCAGCTCTCAGACCTCATCTTCTCAGTCTCTAGTAGCTTGTGATGGAGCTGATTGTTCCTCTTCTTTAAGGCATTTCTTTCTTGCATTGGCTTCCAGGACCCCCACACTCTCCTGGTGCGTGTTTTCTTTTTCCTCCTCTCCTCCCCTCATTGGCCTTTCCTGCTCACTCTCCTTGGTTGGTTTCTCCTCTTTTTTTCTGACCTGAAAATGTTGGAATGCCCCTGTGGCTGCCATTTTCCCATCTCTAGCTTCCACTCCCTGAGCTCTAACCTGCAGTTCAGCAGTTTCTGCACGTCTTAATCGGCATCTCGAGCTTAACATGGCCCAAACCAAGCTCCTGATTTCTGCCCTCGGATCTACTTCTCACCCACTGTGCTCCATCTCCGCAAATGGCACCACCACCCATGCATCCAGGTGCTCAGTCAAAATTAGGAGCCATCTTCGACATCTTCCTTCTTTTAAGAAAAATGTCTTTCAAATTTCTACTCTGTAATGTTTGATACACTTTCTGAATTAGCAGTATCTGCAAGTGAGGAAGCGTATCAGTGAAACGCTGGCCGTGACCCACCACCAGCTGGAGACGGAGTGTTGCCCGTGCCCTGCGACCCCGGGTGCTCCTCCCTCAATCATGACGACTCCTCTTTCCATCACAGCCCACATCCAAGCCCTAGCAAGTTCTGTCAGCTCTTCTTTCAGAGTGTGTCCACGTTCCACCACTGCCCCTTACCCGAGCCACCATCGTACCTCCCTGGGTCACCGCAGTAGTGCCTCTTCCCCCTAAATCCATTTTCCTCACAACAGCAGAACAACCCCTTTACACTGAGTGGTGTTATGTACCCGTTCCACTCAAAACCCTCCCGGGCCACCCAACTCCTTGCTGCTCCTCAAATAAGCCAGCCTTCTCCCAATGGGCTTCTGCCCTCTGGCTGCCCTGGGCCTCCTGAGACCTTCCTGTGGTGTGTGGCGTCCTATCTTGACCTCAGCGAGGCGAGCCCCTCCCCCACTGCTCAAACTTGCCACTCTTTTTTCTCTTCCATGCTACTTCTCACTAACTGAAACTGAATATACATTTATTTCCTCCCTTATTTATTATCTATCTCTTAAGTAGAATGTAAACTCCATGGGTTGTATCTTCAGCACCAGGCACGATGCCTGCTACCTAATAGGGACTTAAGACTCTATTGACTAGTGAATAAATTATGAAAAACGTGTTGAATGAAGGAGTGTGTGAACACACACATGAATAAATGAAAGATGGAGGCTGGTGAGCAGGGAAGGGACAGGAAAACGATGGCTTTTCTTTTAGGACCCCTTAGTCGTTTTCACTCTCTATTTTATTTTTCTGTGATACCTACTTGGAGAAGCCTGTGATTCTCACTTCATTTCTCAATGCCGTTCTTTTTGCTACTCACCACTCACAGCAGTAGGAACTTGTTGCTTAGGTTTTTCAAAATCTGGAGTAAAAGATAATGAAAATGCGCAGCTGTTGTCCGTGAGGTCGTTCAAAAGACCAGATGAATCTCAGAACTAATAATTCTCAAAATTAATTAAACCCTCCTTCCCAATTATGAGAGAATTGAGTTGGTTGCTTCAGCCACACACGGCGGCGGGGAATCTGGGTCGGCGTTCCCGGCTGGGTCTGGGGGCAGCGTTGGTGAGTGTCTTTGTCTTCTCCTTAGGGCTGCCACCCAGGACTATGAGCGGCTAAGATGGAGACGTCCACGTCAGCCACTGCCGCGGAGAAGAAAGAAGCCGAAAGTGGGATCCTGGAGGGCGCTGCTTTTCCCGACCCGGGCAGGAAGGCCTCTGCTCTGGCGGTGGCTACGGTGGCGGCGGCTGCGGCGGCAGCTGCCCAAGGAGGTACTTCTCGTTTTGCACACTTGGTGGGCAGCAGGGGTCTTTTTCATTAGCCCGTTAGGATTTAATTGGACTGGTGGCCGATGTCATCGGGCAGGCATGCTGGGTTTATGGGGGGTGAAGGGGAGGGCGCCCCTGCTCTAGGGGATCCCGGGCACTGTGACGGATGCTTGCGGGTTTTCCCAGAGGTCTGGTCACCTCCAACCTCCAGGTTCCCCAGGGTTGGCCTGGCTCAGACTCCAGCAGGAGGGTCTGAGAGCTGGAGAGGGAAGGGAAGCGAAGGGAGGCGTGGTGGCTGGCACGTTCGATTGGCACATCTGAGATGTTCCAGAGACTCTGCTTCTTGCCTCTGGCCCGCCAGGGACTATTTTGGAAAGTAATTGTCTCCTGATCCCTTTTGGCTGTAATTAAAGGGTCAGGTACAGAATTTAGTATCCTTAGGTGAATTTCTGGCCAACTTAATTATAACAGAAGGACTACACTGAGCCACAGCCTCTCATTTTACTGCCCCAAAGAGAAATACTCTACGGTTTCCACTGGTCTGTGCCAGCATCCCGGTGGGAAAGTTTGGCGGGAAGGCGAGACCTCCCCTTGTGTCTGCGCAGTCCATCTGGAGGCCACAAAACTATTTCTGTCTCTGAGGAGTGGAGAGACTTAGATTTCTTTTCTTTCTCTTTTTATTCAAGTGCATTTAGTCATGCCCTGTTGCTCTTGCTGTCTGAGCACAGTCCCGGGAGCAGCGGGAAATCGCCTTGCCTTGGGTGGGGCGAGTGTGTGAGTGTGGGCGCCATCTCATCCTTTGATGTGAACAGAGATCACGTTAGGGGGCTGTTCAAGTGCACAGCGCCATTCAGTAAGTCGGGCGGGGCTGAGGTTCTGCGCTTCTAACCAGTGCTCATGATGCAGGTGCTGCTGCTGTCCACAGGCCGTGCTAGGCACAGCTTGGGGCCAGAGCCCAGGGAATTGGAATGACACTCAGAGTGGGTGGGAGTCGGTGTCTCCCAAAGTGAACTAGAGGACTTCTAGTTCGTTGTTGCCACATTTATTTTTATTCCCCCCTGTGATTCTCAGTCGGAGGTCATTATCAGGCTGTGTGGCCCAGGTCAGGAGAGGGATATCCAAGGCTGACCTTGTGCTTCCGCAGGGAGGCAGGCATTTGATTGCCTGACCTGGGTGACACCTCTTGACCCCTGTCCTGCTTGAAGACAGGCTCTCTGGGTCTTCTCTCTGAGGAGGAGTGAGCGGCGGGTAGAAGAAGGAGCCAAAGCCCGGTGTGGAGTCCCACGAAGGGTGGTGTCCAGACCCAGACATGAGGGGAGGGGAGGCCAGGGGTAGGAGTCTAGTCCTCGCTTGGCTGTGTCTGCACATGGTCTGTTCCTTCCCCCTGGGTCAGGGCCTACGCTAGCCTGTGGCAACTCCTCAAGCTGTCTCTCTGCCTGACACACAGATGCATGAGTGTTTAGGCCCGAGGGAGCTCCGGCAAGCTGGCTCAGTGTGTCTCTGGCTCTGGCCTGCCCCAGGCCCTCAGCTATTTCTACCTGGGCCTGGGTCTGTCTCTCTGGAACCACCAGTGGATCATGAACTGCCACATGGTGCAATTTACTGCCGTGTCATTGTAGCAGAGAACAGACTTAGGCAGTAATTAGATAGTAATTGGGGGCGGAGGAGAAGCCCCTCTAGCATCACACCTGTTTGTCACCAGTGGTGCGATAATGACAGACGCTTGAGGGGTTCTCGATCTAGGGAAGGGGTGTGGACAGTGGGCCTAAACGTGGAGTGTAGCAGCTCCATGGAGGCATTCATCCTGCTCCACCCCACTCCTACTCTCACCCATGTGTGCTGTCTTGCCCATTCCCACAGGCCTCCGTCCCCTCATTGCCCGCCCTAGTTGCCCCGATGTAGGTGGCTTGTGTCCTTGGAGCCTTGGAGTCAAGTGCAGCTGCTGCTGGAGTGCCTCCTCGCAGTTCCTCTCCCTCCGCCCCCCACTGAGTAGCTTATCAGAGAAGGACCCTCCTGGAGTTAGTTAGGGGAGAGCGGGTGTTCCTGAAGGGAGCAAAGCAGGGGCATCTCGGAGCAGGTCCCCTGGTGCTGGTGGACTGTGATGATGGCATTCTGCCAATGGAGTGAGGGAGGCCCGGTGGTGTAACCCATAAGATACCCATGGGTCCTAGTTCTAACAACATCCCTGGGTCCCAGAGTGGCAAGCCATTCCCCTCTCAGGGCCTCATTGTTGTCAGGGCATTTGACAGATGTTATCCAAAGTCTTTATAATCTCATCACATTGAATCTTTATTACAGCCTACTGAAGGTGGCAGAGGTGCTGTGAGCGACTGATAGTATCTGAAGTCTCACTCAGGTGTCTGACAGACACTGATCTCAAGCACAGTAGGAATGAGCAAGAGCATGAGAGTCCAGAGTGAGGAGAGGGGATGTAAGGGAAGCAGACATCCCCAGTGGCAAAGCTTGGGAAGCCCAGGCGGGAGCTCCTGGCTGTTAGGTTGGAGCAGCAAACATGTCTCATTCGTGAGCAGTTGGATCCTGAGCCTCTCCCTTTAACATCTTCCATTTTGTATATGAGACTAAGATGGCGGTGGAAGGTGGGGGGTGGGGAAGGGGCTTGCCCAAGGCCACCAGCTGCCTTAATAGAGAGGGGTCTCTGGGTGAGAGTCTTTTTCTGGTATTTGCTTTAAGATTGTGATTTTAGATTGTTTATGGGTGATTTGGGCCCTGAAGCCCAGCCCACTGACAGATACTCTTTGGTAAGCATCTAGTCCGTGCACCAGCCTTGGACAGGTCTCATCTGTCATCGTGCCTCAGCTCCCTCGTCTGCCCAAGGGCTAATAGCACCTGCTCTCTTCCATACAGCCAGATCTGTGGGACTGTGACTTATTTGCAGAGGGACCTCGAAAGTCACCTGGCTCAGCTGGCCTCTGTTACTTGACCTCCCTTAGGCATCACAAAGCTGGACCTGCTAGGGCTGGGCGTTTCCACTCAGAGTTGCTGCCTCTCTGAACCAGGATCTGTGTCACGAATACCTTTGCATAGCAGAGGCAGGCTGTACCAAAGGGAAAAGCCATACTGTGGTCAGACTGGGGAATGGTTAGTTGAATCACCTGGCGGGAGCATCTCATGACGGCAGAACTGTGGCCGGTAGTTTTTTTTCCCAGCCTCGTTAGCTGTTGTGCTAACACTTTGGAGGCCATAAAGTTTTAAAAACACATTTTGGCCCTGAATTTTTTTTTCCCTTTAATTTTTAAAATGGTGTAATTTTAAAGGCAATTTGATTCAGATGTTTCTCATTGCTTTACACTGAAGCTGCCCAAATGCTGTCCTATTTTCCTCCTCAACAGTGGCATTTTTTTCCCACAAGAAATATTTCTGAACCTCTCTGTGTGCCTCAGCTAAGCACCAGGAACCCAGCCACTCCAAGCCTCCAGGCTGGGACAATCAGAAAGGCTGGAGCCATAAAACTCCAAGCCGAGTCTGATCCAGTGAGCTTTGCTTGTCTCTGAAGTCATGTAGCCATGCAGGCTTTAGAAACCCTGTGATGTGCCAACACCTAACTCTTACACCGAGCAACACTGTGTGCTGGGTCAGGGCCCTCCCAGCGTGGTCCCCCACTGGCAGCACCAGCATCCCTGGGAATTATTAGAAATGCAAATTCTTGGGCCCTGTTCCAGACCTCCTGCAGCAGAGCTTCTGGGAGTGGGACCCAGCAAGGTGGGGGTGATTTTGATGCATTCCTAAGTGTTGGGTGCTCTGTGTTCCAGCTGCATGACATAGGGTGAGTTTTTTCATAAGTTAAGTATGGATCATGCATGGATCTGCTATGTAGAAGTTACATAGTAGGACCCCTCATAGCTGCTCTTGCTGTGCAGTGCCGCATAATAGTAAGAAGCAGACCAGTCCTGCAACCAGGTGTTGTAATAATTACTTGAGTTAGCACGTGTCGTGCGCTGGGCACGAGTTAGCTCTATGTGAGGTCCAATTTAACCATTTGCTTTAGTAACTATTACCAGTTTTCCTTTCCTAGGTCTGTAGGCTGTGACTTAGAAAGTCTCCTCTTCACTGCTAACTGTTGCTAGCTGAGCCATTGAGGCCAGACAGGTAGGTAGGAAGCTCAGATTTCTGGTGTCTTTTCACTTGAGAGTGGTGGAGGGAGCACTGGGCTGGAGATCAGACCTGGGTTCCGGTCCTTCTTTTCCTCAGTGTCAGAGGCTGTCCTGCCTAGGTGTCTAGGACCTTAGCATGTCCCTGGCCTCCTTAACTCAGCCTTCTCCCTGACACCCTGGAGAATGGGACCAGAGGTTACCGAAGCTAGCCTCGCCTTGGAATGTCATGAGATGACTGCAATAAACACAGACTCCCAGGCTTCCGCGAACCTGCAGAAACAGAATCTCCTGGGCGGAGGCCTGGGCATATATATGTCTAACAGGCTTCCCAGGGCACTGGGTACAGCTGGTTCAAGGCATGGACTGGGTCCCTGGAGGTGATTATGACCCAAGCATTAATGAGGGGTAAGTACTGCATAACTCTCAGCACAGTGCTCCCTTGCTGCAGGAGGCCTCCATGCCACCTAAACTCATATCAGCGACCCCTTTATCTAGTTCACTGGCCCTGCTGGCTTCTTTGAAATTTTCTTTGAGGTTCATTTTTGCTTAGTGGGGAGGTAGACGTATCTGTCCTGTAATGCTGTACAAATACCGGAATATGTAAACAAGTCAGGCTGTGAGCATGCTTTCTGAGATGCCCAGAGCTAGGAAATTTCCCCAGAACACATGGACTTTACCATGTCCTACGTTGATCATTACCTCCGAGACCCTGGTGTCTTTGCCTTCTCCGTTTCTATGCCACCTCTTGCCCCTCACTATATGGCAGAACATTGTTTGTTTATCACTGTAGGTGCCGTCCCCCCCAAGCAACGCAGACACCTGGTAAATCAATGTTGAATGAAGAGATGGGTCTGATGCTATCATGCCGGGTGTTTGTTTGGTGGGCTGGTG